CCTCCTGACCCCCCACATCCCCACCCCCTCCACTTACCTGGCTCCGCAGGGAAGCTGTCTTCTGGCTCGATCAGGAAAACAAGATGGCCGCAGGCAAAAAGCTTCAAAGGCTTTTCTTAAAGGGGCCATTGCTTAATAACTCTCGGGGTCCTTTTTTTTCTCAATAATTTTGGTTTCCCCCCTTTTTTTTTTCTCAACTGAATTTTTTTTGCCGGGAGGAGTGTTCGGTATTTTTAGTTAAACCATCTGACAACCGTACTGCTATGCCAGGTTTTTCCAAGCCCCTGCTGCCCTTGCCCCTCCCCCTCCATGCTAGGGTTCCCCTCCGGGCCCTGCTCCCTTCCCTCTGTACTCCCTTTCAGTTGGTGCCCCCTGCACTCCTCTGCCTGCTGCCCACACTCACCTCCAGCCGCAGGCGGCAGCTGGGCCCAGAGGGCCAGGAGCCCCAGGAGGAGGAAGATGGTCCCTGACTTCATGCTGCTGCCAGGAGCCAGGTGTGAGTGCCCAGCGCTGCGCCGGGCTGGGATTTATACCCTCTCTGGCTCACCGTGACCTCTTGGCTTCTGCCTTGCCCCAGCACCCAACTCACGGCATTTCACAGAAAACCCGTTCCACCTGCAAATCCCCTGCATGGAATGAGGAAAAAACCCTCTCCCCTGGGCTAAGAAACCCCCGAAGGAACCTGGAGAACAGGCAGGCCCACGTTCCAAGGTGCAGGTCGTAGCCAGGCAGTGGTGGGGGAACAGAGCCAGCCCATCCTGCGGGAGTGCTGGTCGCCCTTCACCCAGACACGGCCCATTGCCCTCTGAGTGCCCGGTGCCCTGCCAGCCCCGCTGTGGCCCAGCACCCAAGACGGCACTGGCTCTAGGCAAAGTCCCCAGGTGGATTCCATCCCCAGCAGTGCCCACGTGCCCCCTGGCTCCTGTTTCACCTGCAGACCCTGCTCAGGCCTTTGCCCCCCAGAGCTGTTGCTCCCCATGCAGGGCTCAGATCTCTAAGACCCTCAGTAGCTGCCCTGTGCGTAGCAGCCGTGCGCCTCCTCCAGACTGCGTGCTGCCCTAGGGCCCCAGCCGGAGGCAGCATCCAAGAGGAGCTTGTCCCTGGCCGTGGGCAGAGCTTCAGCCCCATGCCTGGTGTGGCATCCAACTGGCCTGGCAGGGATGACGTTTGCACTGGCACCTGCTGCCATTGTGCCGCAGCTCCAGCAAGGCAGCGGGACGCCCCGCCACCAGCAGGGCATGACACCATGTCTCCCGCCACCTGGAATCCCCTTGGCACCGCATGCCCCCATATCCATGCCCTGCCCACATGCCCCCTGGGCCCTTGCACTAGCTGCCTGGTCCAGCCCACCTCCCCGCCGGCCTCACTTTGCACAGGCAGCCCCCGCACAAGGCGCTCTGCAGCCAGGACCCTCCCTGTTCCCCAGGTTCTTTCAAGGGGCTTTCCCACGCTCTGGGGGCTGGTTGTTTCCTCTTCCATCCGGGGTCCCTGATTTATTCAGACAGGGCAGTGTTATGTCGTGGGGAGTCTCACGGCATAGGGAGAGATCAGCGGAACGGCAGAGAGCTGGAGTAGGTGCAAGTGTCCGTTTTATTGCACAGCACAGAGCTCACTAGAACAAGCCCAGACTAGCTGAGCTGACCCCAGTGACCTGCTCAGTTACCTAACAACAAGATCTAGATCTACGACCCAATAGACAACATATTCCTCCCCCCTTAATAAAAACGTCCCTTTAAGAAAACAAAAACTAACTATGAAATGAGGGTAGAACGCCTCAAGTTCTTAAGGTGATCCTCCTCATTCCCACCCGTGGCCAGGATGTCGTCAAGATAGCACTGAACTCCTGGCAAGCCACACAAGGTCTGCTCCATAGCTCTCTGGAACAAGGCTGGGGCAGAAGTTATTCCGAAGGGTAAGCGACAGTAACGATAAAGCCCTTTATGAGTCACAATAGTCAACAGCTCTTGGGATTCCTCATCAACTGGCATCTGTAAATATGCTTGACTCAGACTCAGATCAATCTTGCTGAACCTTTGTCCCCCAGCCAGGCCCGCAAAGATGTCATGGATGCGAGGAAGGGGTATTGCTCTGCACATAAAACAGGGTTAACAGTGACCTTAAAATCCCCACAAATCCAAATAGAACCATCTTTCTTCAATATCGGAACTATTGGAGTTGCCCATGGACTATGGGTAACTGGTATTAGGACTCCATTTTTGACTAGGTGCTCCAGGTCTGCTTCAACTTTTGGCCTGATCGCATATGGCACATTTCTGGCCTTCAGATATTTTGGTTGGCTACCAGGTTTAATGTTCAGTTTCACGGTGATTCCCCTCATACTTCCCAGATCCTCTCCAAAAACAGCAGCATGTCTCTTTAATATATCAGTCAGGCCTGTTTCTTCTTCAGTCATCCGGTGCACTTCTGCCCAGTCCAGTGGGATCTTCCTAAGCCATGATCTCCCCATTAAGGCTGGGTAATGGCCTTTCACCACAAACAGTGGTAATTCTGCAGTCCGTCCATTTAGTTCCACCTTAACATCAGTAGTGCCCAATAGGGGTACTGCTTCTCCTGTATATGTCTTCAGAATGATCTTTGTTGCCTTAAGTGGAAGATGCTTCAACTCTTCCTTATACACCGAGTCTGAGACCAATGAAACTGCTGCACCAGAGTCCACTTCCATGCGTACCGGTTTGCCATCCAACAGTGGGGTTACCCAGTATTCATGGGAGCCCCCTTTCAAAGACAAAACACAGCAGGGCACTTCTTCTTCAGACAAGGTGTCGCTTTGATCATCAGGCATCTGCTCGATGGGATGCAGATTTTCCTTTTTGTTCCGCCAGGCCACAGGCCTCTTTTTCTTTTGTTTACAGGCACGCTCAATGTGTCCTTTTTCCCACACTGTCGCGCTCAATGTGTCCTTTTTTTCCACACTGTCGACACACTAGGTTCTTACACCAGCATTCTGCGGCATGGTGACCTGTCTTACCACAGCGGTAACATTCCTGGCTCCCCACTGTTTTGTGAGTAGGTTCTTGGGACATTTTATGCACCCCCGGGGGCGCACTCAGGTATTGTGCCTCCTGTGTGGCCAGTTCCATGCAGACCGCAATATGAATGGCCTTCTGTAGGGTGAGCTGAGCTTCTGTTAACAGACGCCTCCGTATAGCTTCACTGTGCAGGCCACACACTAACCTGTCACGTATGGCATCATTCAACATCTCCTTAAATTCACAGTGTTCAGCAAGCTTTTCCAAATTGGCTACAAATTGTACAATGGTTTCACTTTCTTTTTGGTCTCTGCTATGGAACCTTTCTGCAATGACCAGTGGGTTTGGAGCATAATGTGACCCCAGGATTTCCACAATGTCTCTGTAAGATTTGGTCTCTGGCTTAACAGGGAGCAGCAAACTGCATAGCAGAGAATAGGTCTTAGCCCCTACAACACTTCAAAATATTGGCACCTTCTTCTCTTCTTTAATGTCATTTGCAATAACAAACAGTTCAAAGCGCTCAGTATGTGAGGCTCTGGGCCCGTGTCAGGCTCTGGCAGTTCACAAGGGCAGCAACACAAGCCCAGTGGTCCCCGAGGTGATTCCCTCCTGGCTCTGGCTACGTCCTCGTCCCCCGGGCAGGGGTCCCCCTTGGAAAGGGAAGGGATGAGGCTCAGCCTGTGGCAGGATCCCTCGGTCCCATCTGGCTGGCTTCCCCTGGGCTAATGCAGCCAGGCCACCAGGCAGCCAGCTGGTCCGTGGGCTTTGCAGGAATTGAACTCCGGGGCCCCAGGAGGCTGGTGGAACCATGGACTGGGAATGCAGTGGGGGTGGGGCCATGACCTGGGTCCCAGCCCGTGTCTGGGGTGAGAGGGTGATGCCCAGTCCCCCGCAGGCCAGTTGTCTGCTCCGGGGGCCAGCAAGGAACGAGGGGCATGCACCCCCAGTGCCACCAGCCAAAGACCCCTCTTCTCTGGAGCACGGAGCGGGGCAGCGTCCTAGGCGTGAGCATGGGCCCCCCGCAGTCTCTGAGCTGCAACCAACAGGACTTCTGGGCCTGGGCCTCCCTGTTTCTCCAGGTTCCTTCAAGGGGGTTTCCCACCCCCCAGGATCTGGGCTGTTTCCTCATTCCATGGGGGGGGTTGATTTATTCTCAGCTTGTGCTGGCAGCTGGAGCTGGGCCACTGGGTCACTGCAGGCGCCTCCCCCTTCTAATCCATCCCCACTGGGCTTAAATCCCAGCCCGGCTCAGCACTGGGCACTGGCCCGGCCTCCCAACAGCAGCATGAAGTCAGGGACCATCCTCCTCCTCCTGGGGCTCTCTGCCCCGGGCTGGGGGTGAGTGCGGGCAGCAGGCAGTGGAGGGGGAGGACTGAGAACCTCTGTCCCAGTTCAGCTGGGGAATGGTTCTACCACACAACTCCTGCCTGCCTCTGAGCTAGGCTCCTGGGCCCGTGCACCCAGCTCGCGACCCGGGAGCCCAAGGCCCTGGCAGACAGTCGCTTGCTTTGCTCTGCCCCTCGGCGCCTCTTATGCCAGGACTCCTGCTGGCTTTGCAGCAGGCCGGCCAAGAAGCGTGAGGAATTCACGTGTGGAGGCTGCGATGGGAGTGAGAACAATCTGGAGACTCCGAAAGTCTGGTGGGCACGGTGAGGCTCAGGGCGGGTCACCCCGTCCTGCAGGGCAGGTTTGGCAATATGGGGGCTGATCTGCACTCCCGGACCGGAGGGCCCTGAGACCTGCTAACTCAGCTGCAGCCCTGCATATCCCCATAGCTGAGCCGGGGGAATCAGTCACTGAGTGAAGGGCCAGGCCTGCCACCCCATTAACCAGGCCAGAGTGACCCCCCATAGCCCAGGCAGCAGCTCTGAGATTCTGCCAAAGCTGCGCATGGAGGTTCTCGCCCAAGCTCCAAGGTCTCCCTCCTGCACCCTCCTCGTTCCCACAGGAAGCCAGGGACTGTCAGCTGGGGCAGCAGTGTCAGGACGGGCATTTCAGTGGGGCTCTGTGGCACCTGCTGCTGGTTCCAGCCTCCACAGATGGTGCCGAGGCTTCTCAGTGTGGATTATCGCAGCAGAATTAGTCCAGGCAGAACCCTGCAATTTGTCCAGAAAACCTCCGGACTGCTGCTGCGGCTTCCTACGTTCTGACGTGCTCAGACCACATTGCTTGAGAGCAGCTGACTAGACAGTGGGAGGGGCCGTCTTAAAACATGGCTTTAGGCATGTGGGCGTCTTTGTTGTAGCTGCCATTGACAAGGACAGTGCAGCATTAGAGTGACCTGCTGCACTGCTAGCGAGTGGGGCTGTACGACACAGCCAGTGGGGACGACTGTTTGGTATGAGTGGCAATAGTGCTGCCTTTACCGAGAACACGGAGAGACACAGTAACTGGAGACTCATTCGCCCATTCACTCCACGGGGCGCCAGCAGCAGATGTGTCAGATTTAAAGATTTTATTAACATTCATGTTAAAATGATCTGATACACAGGTTAAGGGCAGAGCATCTGTACGTCTGGGTGGAATGCGCAAATTATCCCAAGGTACAAAATTTGGCTTAAAATCCATCACATCAATATAGTACGTAATCTGCTATATCCCCAATTATGGTTAACAAATGTAAGGATTCAGTTTAGATATTAGCATCCAAATGTTTTGGTATCTCCCTCACTAGTGGTTGTACTGACAGTAGCAGTAAGTGCAGTGCACCCTCAGTAGCTGAGAATTGAGGACAGGTTGTCCCTCAGTGAATACAGTCCATTGGAAAAGAAAGTCCCAGAAATTAGAGATGGAAAAGTCCCTTGACTCGTTCATCCCATTTACTCCATAGGGCACCAGCAGAGGCGGTATCAGACATTAAACCAAAGCTACGATCACTCTTAGCAGAAGGTCTGGCTGACCTATGCAGAGGAAGCCACAGTAAAAGGGGAATTAAGTAAAAGAGCTTTCCTTCTACTCCGAATTTCATCTCCCAGATGAGAGCACTGGCGCCAGCCCCAGCCTACACGGTCTGGAGGGAATGGATCTGGATGCACCGTGCGATGGGACAGGTATTTCAGAAGAATTGGCCTGAACCTGGAACACTGCTGGGAGTGGAGGACATCAGCGCAGAGGCCAGGCAACCCATCAGGAAAGATTCAATAAGAAAGAAAATTTATTTCAAGAATAAAATGAGCTGGAATCTGACCCAAAGTGCTCAGACACTACAGTGACGAGCTTGGAGTGAGAGCCCAGAGAGAGAACCCCAATGCACCTTCCTCAGGCCAGAGAAAAGATCCCTGATCACTGGTTTCCTTCACCCAGAGACTGATCCCTGACCAGTAACCCCATCATCGATGAGGCAGCATGTTCCCAGGCAACCACTAGTAAAAGAAAAGGGAGAGCTGGAAAAATCACACAGGAAAGCGAGGCTCTTTAAGTGATGTAGAAGGAATATTTTGCAAGATGATCTGATAGGTTCTGTGTCAAGGTCAGTGGGGTCTGAAGAAATTCCCCTCAAAACTCAAAATTATCACTATCCCCATCAAAGTCTTCATCCCCTTCGGCGCCGTCATCCTGCAAGTCAGAATCGTCGTCTCCCCCGTCAAGGTCTTCATCCCCTTCGGCGCCGTCATCCTGCAAGTCAGAATCGTCGTCTCCCCCGTCAAGGTCTTCATCCCCTTCGGCGCCGTCATCCTGCAAGTCAGAATCGTCGTCTCCCCCGTCAAGGTCTTCATCCCCTTCGGCGCCGTCATCCTGCAAGTCAGAATCGTCGTCTCCCCCGTCAAGGTCTTCATCCCCTTCGGCGCCGTCATCCTGCAAGTCAGAATCGTCGTCTCCCCCGTCAAGGTCTTCATCCCCTTCGGCGCCGTCATCCTGCAAGTCAGAATCGTCGTCTCCCCCGTCAAGGTCTTCATCCCCTTCGGCGCCGTCATCCTGCAAGTCAGAATCGTCGTCTCCCCCGTCAAGGTCTTCATCCCCTTCGGCGCCGTCATCCTGCAAGTCAGAATCGTCGTCTCCCCCGTCAAGGTCTTCATCCCCTTCGGCGCCGTCATCCTGCAAGTCAGAATCGTCGTCTCCCCCGTCAAGGTCTTCATCCCCTTCGGCGCCGTCATCCTGCAAGTCAGAATCGTCGTCTCCCCCGTCAAGGTCTTCATCCCCTTCGGCGCCGTCATCCTGCAAGTCAGAATCGTCGTCTCCCCCGTCAAGGTCTTCATCCCCTTCGGCGCCGTCATCCTGCAAGTCAGAATCGTCGTCTCCCCCGTCAAGGTCTTCATCCCCTTCGGCGCCGTCATCCTGCAAGTCAGAATCGTCGTCTCCCCCGTCAAGGTCTTCATCCCCTTCGGCGCCGTCATCCTGCAAGTCAGAATCATCGTCTCCCCCATCTAGATCTTCGTCCCCTTCGGCGCCGTCATCCTGCAAGTCAGAATCGTCGTCTCCCCCGTCAAAGTCATCGGTATCATCATCCTGCAAGTCAGCATAGTCATCTCCCCCGTCAAAGTCATCGTACCCAACAACATCGTCATAAGAGCGAATACGTCTCACATTAGAATCATCTTCCCCATCAAACTCATCGGCCTCATCTGAGCCACCATCCCTTAGGCCAGCATCAGCATCAGCTCCATCGAAGTTGTTGTTCCCCATGGAATCTCCCACATCAGAACCACCGACTCGCAGGTGGGAGTCCTCCTCATCCCCATCAGAGTCATCATTCTCATAAGTGCGAATATCCGTCCCATCAGAGCCATCACCTCCGGCGCCAGACTCTTTTGCAACAGTTGCAGGGTTTTCACTCAATCCAGGTTCTGCTTCGGGCACATCTTTTGCTACGTCCTTTCCTGGGTCAACAGCAAAGACAGGAGAAGTTGCGTGTGAGATCCCTGAAAATGGGAGAGAAAACAGAAGAGTCAGAGACCCAATTCACATGTATCTGCTTCCAATCCACCCTGCATACTGGCTTCAGGCTGCAGCAACCTATGTATAGGATCAGGCACTGTCTTCCCTGGGATAGGTAGCTGTACATATGGTACCACATTTTACTCTATTCCTCTCTATTTAAGTTCTTAATGCTCCACCCCCATCCCTATGATATCTAAGCACCTTCTGGAAAGGCAGAAAACAACGTGACTTGTGTCTCCCACTATGACTCTCTCGGTTTCACCTTTCCTCTCCAGAGAGGAGACTGTGTTTTCTGTGACTATTTGCTCTCTATCCGCTGTGCTCTGTGTTTGTTACTGAAAGTAGATCAAACAGGCAAGCTTGGTATTAGAAACAGAAAATGGTGAGCGTCAAGGGGGGATGTAAATCCTGCAGGTGTCCATTCCAGTCTTGGACTGACCCCTGAGAAATGCTCTGTCTTCTGGACACATCAGCTTTCCCCTGGGGGTGGAACCAGTGATGCCAAGCAGACTGTGACTCAGGAACTTCTCAGTGCCAAGTGGCCAAAGGAGATGGGGAGGAGGGTGGCAGAAAGCTCCTGATAATGGTGGATATGTTCTGGTTCACCAAATACCATGTGAGTCTCAGCTGAAAGCCAGTGTCTCATTGGTTCTAACTATCACTGTGAAAGGGATGTGCACACACTGGGGAGTTATGTATCTAGGGTACACTGAGGCGTGGGGAGGGTTGTCCAGCAGCAGAGGTGAAAAGCAGACATTCCGACATGTAAGACGAGTTTATTCCTCGCTCTGTTCACATGGAAAATGGGTATTGCCTCATTCACAGTGAACCTCCCAGCAGTCTGTGGTAAATGCAAACGAAGGACTGTACGCTGGGACTCTCAGGAAGAGAAACGTAGTGGCCAAGGGTCCCTTATCTTGGTGTGCACTTCAGAGGCTTGCTCCACTTCTAGGGAGCGTGGTGGAGCCTCAGGAACACTGTGCTGGGGAAGACAATGACATGAAAAAGGCCTCTCTGCCAGGCTTGGCGAAAACAGTGAAGAGAACTTTGTAATAAACTCCTTAAGACAGACCCTGGGTTGGCTCTTACGAGCTGGGTCGGGCTGGTCCTTTGGGAATAACTGACCTGGTCATTCTGTGGGAGAACGAGGCCTGTGAGGACCTGAAAGGCAGGGCTTGTGCTGCCAGAGGCTCATGAACTCAGGGAGCTGATTGGCAGCAGGCAGAGGCAAGACTGCGTCACACTAAGGACAGGGTATTGTCAAGGGTCTGGACCCATGGGGAGCTGCTGTAACTTTCTGGCTTGAGTGTAAAAAAACCACATCCCCCCGCTCCCACGATGCCAGCAAGTTACAGCTCTGTCACGCGCCAGTGTGAACCATGCACGGTGCTGGGAGCTGTACGTCCAGTGCTGCTCGCTACTCCCCTGACAGAGGTGGTCTCCACAGAGCACAGGGAGAGCTCTCGTGCTACGGCCACACTTCCAGTTTCAAGTGCTGCATGCTGAGCTTTAAACTTTTACGTGTGGACAAAGCCTTAGTTTGAAGGGGGAGGGGAGAATTCCTCTGTAAAGGAGGCGCTAGCTGCTTCAGTCAGGAGAGGCACCTGTGACTTGTGGCCTCTTTTAGCTGCCAGGAAGGACAAGCATCAAACTCCCAGGTCTTTGCTCAAGTCTCCTTCAGGGCATCCCGTGCTTGTGGCATGAATGTGCTGAGCTCATGGAGGCAGGTTGGTTCTTCGCTGGCTCGAGGGGATCAGACCCCTGGGTACGTCCACACAGCAGTGTTATTTCGAAGGAACTGATGTTATTTCAGAATATCACAATGCGCATCTACAGAGCAGGCCGTTATTTCGAAATACTGTCGAGCCGGAGGACTTCTTACTCCAGCTCCTGAGGAGAAGGGGAAGGTGGGGGAAGAGCGCTCTTCCTTCCATCCCCTGCTGTGCAGACGGTGCCAAAAGCCGAGTTCAGCTATTCTGGCTTCCACCACGCAATCGACACAGCTGACGTTGCGTATCTCAAGCTGACTTCTGCCCTCCGGTGCAGGCGTGCCCTTGCAGCCCAAGACTTCCTGGATGGGTGATCTTTTCTCCTCCTGCCTTCTGTGCGAGTTAGTTAGCAAGGCCCTTCCTAGCAGGAGGCTGCGCTGCTTCAGAGGAAATGAAAAGGCCAAACATCCGACCCCTCCTTCCCACTCCCACCAGCCCACTCTGCCTCACACACAGGCAGCAAATGTCAAAAGCTTCACTCTCACTGAAACTTGGGATCTTTTGGTGGCTCTAGACCCATATCCTGCCTCCGTTAGCAGCTCTCACTTGATGCATCCAAGAAAGGGAGAAACCTTCCAGCATAATCCTCGATAAATTGTGAAATGTTTGTGGGAGTAAACCCCCCTCCTGATAGCACACGGATCAGCTGCTGTCCTTGAGATCTGACCGCCCTGATCTCAGCAAGTGGACCTACAAAGGCTGTAAACAGGTACAAAACTCTCCAAACTCTCCAGGAATAAGCAGCAAAAGGCTCACTCTGAAAAATGGCCCCTGGCCTGTTGTGACTCTTATAAGAGTCCTCTTTTCGCTCCCCACTCCTCTTCTCACTGCTCAGCCTCTGCTCCAAGACCCCTCGCTGCTCAGAAAGTAGCAGCAGACCGGGTCGGATTAAGACTTGCTGAGACCCTAAGATATATGAGGTTTAAGAGGCCCCATAGCGTTACAAAAAATGAAATTTCGTAATGTTTTTGTATTTGGAGGCCCTTCATACTCTGAGGACCTAAACTGTATTTTATTTAGCTCGTGCATAAATCTGGTACTGAGTGCAAACTAGAGATTTTGACACAGAACACAGGCGCTACGTCTAGACTGGCAGGATTTTCCGGAAATGCTTTTAACGGAAACGTTTTCTGTTAAAAGCATTTTCGGAACAGAGCGTCTAGATTGGCAGGATGCTTTTGCGCTAAAGCCCTTTTTGCGGAAAAGCGTCCGTGCCAATCTAGACGCTTTTGTGCAAAAAAGCCCCAATTGCCATTTTCGTGATCGGGATTTTTTTGCGCAAAACAAATCTGAGCTGTCTACACTGGCCCTTTTGCACAAAAGGACTTTTGCCCGAATGGGAGCAGCGTAGTATTCCCGCAAGAAGCCCTGATTTCAGACAGTAGGAAGTCAGTGCTTTTGCGGAAATTCAAGTGACCAGTGTAGACAGCTGGCAAGTTTTTCTGGAAAAGCGGCTGATTTTCTGGAAAAAGTGGCCAGTCTAGACACAGCCCGTGTCTGTCCCTGCTGCAAGCTTTGGCTATGACTAACCCACTGGCTAAGAACCGCTGTGTTGCTGGGCAGGGGAGATGCAGGCTGAGGCTGGGCCAGTGGGTTGAGTCGTATCTGGAAGGCAGTGACAATCTGTGGCAATGGGATCCTATGTCTGACCATTTGCAGTGTTCTAGCCCTCCCAGACCCAGCCAGCCTGCCCTGCTGCGTGTCTGCGTGAGGTTTCTTGGCCAGCGCGTTTCTCAGCACCGATTAGCATCAGGGTGCTGCAACGACGCTCCAATAGAACAGGTCGTTCTTGTCCCCTGAGCCCTGCCAGTTTCTGGGAGAATCCAGAGGTGTAGCCGCCACGTATTCGCCACCACACCCCTGTGGCCGCTGTGCTCTCACTGATTCATCCCCATGGAGCCACGCAGGCCCAGGCAATGGGTGAGTCTCACAGGCCGCGATGGGTACAGAGAGAAGGGGCGGGGGCAGGGCTGAGCTGGGGCAGGGGGCAGATTCTGTGGGGCAGAGATGGGGGCATGGCTGAGCTGTGGCAGGGGGCAGATGCTATGGGGCAGAGACAGGGGCAGGACTGAACTGTGGCGGGGGGGGAGATGCTATGGGGCAGAGACAGGGGCAGGACTGAACTGTGGCGGGGGGGGAGATGCTATGGGGCAGAGACAGGGGCAGGACTGAACTGTGGCGGGGGGGGAGATGCTATGGGGCAGAGACAGGGGCAGGACTGAACTGTGGCGGGGGGGGAGATGCTATGGGGCAGAGACAGGGGCAGGACTGAACTGTGGCGGGGGGGGAGATGCTATGGGGCAGAGACAGGGGCAGGACTGAACTGTGGCGGGGGGGGAGATGCTATGGGGCAGAGACAGGGGCAGGACTGAACTGTGGCGGGGGGGGAGATGCTATGGGGCAGAGACAGGGGCAGGACTGAACTGTGGCGGGGGGGGAGATGCTATGGGGCAGAGACAGGGGCAGGACTGAACTGTGGCGGGGGGGGGCAGATGCACTCCTGTCCCATGCACAGCAAAGCTCTCCCAGGTTGCTTTCCCTGCACAGTGCCTCTTGTGAGGTGCAAGAGGGTAAAAGCTCCCAGGGCGAGGCCCAGATGTGCCAAAGCCACGTCAGCTTTAGGACTTTAGGGTCACAAGTGAGCTGAGAACTACACAGGCTCAGCAGGGCAGCAAACTACTGAGACTGGGGGGCAGATGCTGAGGGGCAGGGCTGCAGCTGGGGGCAGGGCTGAGCTGTGGCTATGGGGGGAGATGCTATGGGGCAGGGCTGCAGCTAGGGCCGTCTGTAGCTGGGTGCCCAGCGCTGCCACACGCCCCAGGCATAAGGCCTCGCAGCCTGGGCTGGGGGGCTTGTGACCAGACGGGGACTAGGGGTCGGGCGCCTGAGGGCGTGTGGGCACCGCCAGAGCAGGGCCCCCTGGTGCCAGCCCTGCCAGGCTGGGGCGTGCGAGGGGCAGTCTGGGCAGGTCTGGCGGGGCCCCAGGTCCCTCTCCCCTTCCCCTTGCATGTATGAGCTTTTAAAACACACCCAGGGTACGTCTAGACTTCATGGCTCCGTCTAGTTTACTAGAGGCAAACCGGAGCGGTCAACAAAGGCTTCCCTTGGTGACCGTGTCTAGACTGCCGCGCTGTGCCGGATCGGCTGATTATCGGCACAGCGCGGCGGCCATTTTTATTTTAATGAAGCTGGGATTATTTAAATCTCCTCTTCATTGACTATGCCGAGTAAACTATTTAACATGGCTCCATGGACGGAGCCCTGCAGTCCAGACGTACCCCCCGTGTTATTAACCTTACACACTAAAGGGAGCAGAAATAGCTGGCTCTCCCCTGCTGGGAATTCGTACAACCCTCGGGGGCAGGCTGGGCCCAGGCGGGGCACGGCCAGAGGCCTCTGTGCTCCAGCTCTCCTTCGAAGACAACGGGGGCTGCTCTCAGCAATGAGGACAGAGCAGAGGGGCGCAGCGTGGTGACTGGCTCCCTGGGGTTCAGCCCTTTCTGCTGTGCCCATGACGCAGTCTGGACCCACACATTTCCCGGGATGAGCCGGCGTGTGAGTGCGAGTGAGAAATGGGAGATCTCTGTGTGTGTCCTTCCTGGAGCCGCTGCTGTCCCACTGCCCATCCTGCCACAGCTCCAGGCCTGTTTTCAGCGCACAGGCTCAGTCAGAGCTAGTGCCAGGACGTCTCCCCCGGCTGGAAATTGCACCTCCAGCTCCAGAGGCCAGTGGCTCTAACATCAGCTCAGCTCAGCACTGGCAGGTCTCTCTGGTGGTCACAGGCTGGTCCGTGTTTTATGTTGGAATATAAAGTCTCTCTAGTTAGCAATGCAAATGGCTAAATGAACTGCAGTAAAATAACAGCTGCCCAGCCCTCACACACAAGCCCTCTCCCTGCCGCTCAGTAACCCGATGCAGTCAGCCTTCCTTATGAAAAACCAGTTTGCCCATCAGGCAGCCAGCACATCAGCCTGGCCACAGGGCTAAGCGACGTGGCTGAGTTCTGACAGCCCGGGAAGACCTCGCTGGGAAAGGTGATTCAGAGAAGCAGCGCATGGTGCTATGGTTCCATCACTACAAGGCAATATAGCAGGGGCCTCGGTACCTGGAGGGGCGAGGCGATTGTGTGCTGATTTCCAACTGGACTACCTAGCACGATGGGCTTGGAGCCTGGTTGGTGTTAACAAACCCTGGGACAGAGGGAGCACGCTGGAAGCAGGGCTGTGTCCTCAGGAGCCAGAGCACCCAGCCCAAACCAGGCTGTCTGATGAGCTTTCCTGCCGAGTATCCATGTGAGACAAGAGGCTGAGTTCAGGGCCTTGGGTCTCTTGTGAAGTGCCGTGTCTAGCACTTACCTCCTTCGCCCCCATCCAGAGCTGGGTCCCTCCAACTCCGACTTCCCTGCCCCCTTGCTGACTCCTGCCTGCCAGTCCACAACCAGCTCAGTTTCCAGGGAGGGCTCTCCCAGAGCCCACAGGTGCAGCTCACAGGCACCTTCCAAACGTGGAACTGGGAGGCCAGCGAGGCATGATGTTCCGTGCCAAAGGCAGCAGGAGCCAGGTGCTAGCGTGGCTGAGGAGTCTGAGATGATGGAGCTGACTGGCATGCCAGCCATGACAGTGGAGCATGGCCCCGGAGACCGTGTAAAACTGGGTGTCCTTGGGACACTGTCATGAGAGGTCGGGCACCTACAGATTTAGACGATAAGTCTCCAGCTAAAGCAGTCCAGAGCTGCCAGCCTGCCCCTCCAATGCCTGCCCCTCAGCAACACATGAATTGCAGAGTCTGGCCGGTCCAGATGGTCTGTAATTCCGTCTGCTGCTCCGAGGGAATGGCAGCTCTGTCCCTGTGCCACCCACAGTGGAGATGTGTTTCTACTGGCCCCTGAATCGGGTCACTGAGGAGACAAACCAACCCACTCCCTAACGTGTCTGGTATTTCCAAGCCCCCACTCCCACTGCCCATGCCCCCTCCCCTAGGGCTCCCCTCCAGGCCCTGCGCTCCCTGTACTCACTTTCTGTAGGTGCCCCCTGTAGTGCTGTCCAGAGGGTGACGAGCCCCAGGAGGAGAAAGAGGCCCCCTGACTTCATGGTGCTGCCAGAGCTGGGTCTGAGTGCCCAGAGTGGAGCCAGTCTGCAATTTAAAGTCACACCCAGGTGGAGCTGGTTCAAGCGTGGGAGGAAGCAGCGCACGGTGATCTAGAAGCACCACCCATGTTTAAGTCTAATTCAATGTTCTAAGGAGTCAGCTCCAGGTATCTGTCCCTGCCCACACAGAAGGGTATGATCAGCACTTGGTCATGTTTAGAAATTGCCCTGGAAGGCAAAGCAAAGAGCCCTCAGGAGGAAAGTAGAGGGATTGATCCATCAATGTCTAGGGCCATTGGCAACTGCACAAAACTGGTGATGTCAGAAATACTCCCAGCGAATGAGAATCAGACACGTAGAGAAAACCTCCCGACTCGATTAACATGCCAACAAGAGGGTGGGTGAGAGAATGGTGAGACACAGCAGGAGGGCCTAGTGGTCAGCGTGCACAGGACACAAACACGCCGGCACAAGGAGACTGGACACCAGGCTCAGAAATGGCTGAAGTGTGAAAGCTGCAACTTGGCTGCCAATCGTTCTTATTCCCCCCAACCCTGAGCAGCAAGGGATGCAGGGAAATTGGTCAGAACTGGACATTATTCCAACCCCTCCTCTCTTCCTATGGCGATTCTGACCGCTCCTGCAGGCTCTCGCGGCAGGCTGGCGCAGCCTGGCGAGTCTGCCCCAGAGTGGATCTGTTCGCTCACAAGTGAAAAGCTCCCAGCTTGCCAGACCCCTTCGCAGAACACTACCCATGGGAAAGAGACTGGAGTATGGGTGGGGTGCCAGCCTCCCCACTGTCCAGGATTAGTTCTCTAACCTCCGAACCAGAATGCGGCTCTTCCCGTGAAGCCTAGAAAGACAAGATCCCTGCCTCAAAGCGCTTGCAGTCAGACTCAGTGAGAGGCAGAGCAACTCAGCGTGGGAGGCTGCTGGGGAAATCTCTGTGGGAAGGCTCCTTGCAAGAAGCAGGTTTTAAGTACAGGTTTACCTCACTTCCCAGCTGTGGCTCAATTCTGGTGCCAGCACAGAGTGATCCACCTTCTTCTATTGCATTTCCAGTATCCACACCTTGCAGCTTCAGAGCTTTCATCCCAGACAGTCGGCTGTTTGTCCTGCCCGGCTGTTATTATCATTGCCGGACTGAAAACACCACTGAGTTAATTCCTCCAGCTAGTTGGTTGAGGCTCTGGGAGGCGGCAACTGCAGCAAATAAAAGCTCGCTCTGGACACAGGCAGCTCCTGGGCTGAAATGTCAAACTACCCCAGCAATGGCTCACACCATCGGGCTTCAACGTAATGAGACTCCACAGCCTGAAGCCACACTCCTGAGGCACGGTGCTAGATCTCAGAGCTAAACATGGCCTGGCCGGGTCACTACTTGGATGAGAAACCCCCAAGAGAACCCAGGAGCTGCAGGAAGTGGCAGGAGTAATGATACTTTTCCTTCTGGATCAGTTCAGAACCCAGGCTCCATCCTTGGAGGTCCCTGGACTCTTTTCTTAAGAGCAGGGGTGTTTGTCTTTGTTTCTTGGCCAAATTCCAAGGCAGGAAATCCCATCCTGACTCCCTGAATTCCCACCTGGATTTTCAGATGAACCAAGTATTTGTTGTGCAGTGTCACTGGTGAATAGAAAGTGATACCGAGCTTTCTGATGCAGGCTTGGCTGCACAGGGCTCCTGTGGACGTGACATCCATCTATGTTCCTATACTGGCCTAAACTGTCCGTCAAGCGCATTGTATGACAAATGTTATCAGAAGTCAGCGCTTGGTGGTAGTAATTAGACTACCATTTCCATAATCTGGAACCCAAATCCAACTCCTTCCGCCTGCCCCAGGGCACTTTCACAAGTTAGTCGTGCAACAACCAAAGACACGGGACCAAATTCAGCCCTGAGCAGATGTGACTCACTGATTTCCATGACGTGGCACTCACTTACACCAGGGCTGCACTGGGCCCACAAAGGAGTCCAAAGGCCCTTCCCTGGGAGGGCACAATCCTGCAGTGCCAGGAGGCTTCTTGTGTTTGGGGACAGCTCACTCTCTGTGTGTTTTAAGGTTAGGGTATTTGGATAACAGACGTCATGTCACGGTTAATAGAAAAACTGCTTTCTGCTCCCTTGAGATATGTCAGCACCACAGCGCTGCCTGCGTGCAAGGCCCAGGACCGTGACCCTGTAACACACAATATGAATCTTGACTGCTAGCAGTTCTACTTTTGTGATGTTAACGAGGAAGTCCCAGAACAGCAGTGTACAGGTGGATGCAATACCTGGGTGCATCTAGACTGGCAAGATTTTGTGCAAAAGTGCCTGCTTTGGTGCAAAAACTTGCTAGTTGTCTACACTGGCCGCTTGAATTTGCGCAAGAGCACTGACTTTGTAATGTACCAAATCAGTGCTTCTTGCACAAATACTTTCACTCTACCGCTCAGGGATAAGCCCGCTTGTGCAAGAATACTTGCGCAAGAGGACCAGTGTAGACAGGCACCTACATTTTTGCGCAAGAAAGCCCGATGGCTAAAATGGCGATCGGGGCTTCCTTGCGCAAAAGCGCGTCTAGATTGGCACGGATGCTTTTGTGCAAAAGCGCTTTTCCGGAAAAGCATCCGTGCCAATCTAGACGCGCTTTTGTGGAAATACTTTTAACGGAAAAAATTTTCCGTTAAAAGCATTTCCGGAAAATCACGCCAGTCTAGACATAGCCCCTGTGTTTCCCCAGCAATGCCTGGTCTCTGCCGTTACCTAAAGGAGGCTGGTGTGGTGCTGCTCAGCTGCCATAGTGCATTTCACCTTCATGTGGAACATCAGGTGCTGGGCACTGCAGCCGGCAGAACACCCTGCTAGAAGTGCCGGTGTGTAAAACAGGCTGAGCACCAGTCTGACAGGACATGGCCATGCCTGAGCTATGCCATGGCGAGTGGAACTGGGACCAGAGACCCGTGTTCCCCAGCAAGTCTGTGGAATGGGCACGTTGGGCTGAAAGCAGATCACCCACGTGGAGAGAGCAATGCCTGGCTGGGGTGGAGTCCCCGCTCAGGCCCCTGGGTCTGGTGCAGTCACCCGTGCGTTTATTGTCAGTTCCCACCACCTCCTGTTTACAGTCAAGTCCGCCAGCTCCTCCATCTACCTGGGAGCACACTGAGCCACACCCTGGCTTTTCTTTTCTAAACTAAACAAGCCCAGTTCTTTCAGCCTTCCTTCATGGGTCATGTTCTCTAGACCTTTCATCATTCGTGTTGCTCTTCTCTGGGCCCTCTCCAATTTCTCCACATCCTTCTTGAAATGCGATGCCCAGAACTGGACACAATCCCCCAACTGAGGCCTGATCAGCGCAGAGCAGAGCGGAAGAATGATAGCGGGTTGTCCCCATGAAAGCTCATGATACCAGCTACATTTTTTGTGAGTCTCTTTGGGTATGTGTACACTGCCACCCTACTTCGAACTAATGTGGCTAATGTAGGCATTCGAACTTGCAAATGAAGCCCAGGATTTAAATATCCCGGGCTTCATTTGCATGTTCCTGGGTGCCACCATTTTTAAATGCCCCGTAGTTCGAACTCCCTGCCCACGGCGACACGCAGCACAGACTAGGTAGTTCGAATTACAGCTCCTAATTCGAACTACCGTTATTCCTCCTGCAAGGAGGATATTTAAATCCCAGGCTTCATTTGCAAGTTCGAATGCCTACATTAGCCACCCTAGTTCGAACTAGGGTGCATAGTGTAGACAGACCCTTAGGTACTGCAGGACCATTGGTTGTTTTTTAAGTTTTTTCAGGTAAGAGATTGTCAGACAAAGGGGGTTCCTTCCAAAAACTCTCCCCTTCTACAGGGGAAGGGAACAAGGGATGCGGTGAAAACGGAGGCCTTGTTCAATATGTTGCTTTCAATGGCTGTAAGTGTTTTTCCTCCTTAACAGTATCTTTAAGAAAAGTTACAAGGAGTATCAGTAATGGTATAAGCAGGTTGTTTACGATGGTTTTAATGTTGGATTGAGACTGGGTCGTTAAACACGGTTAACACTTTGGGCCCGTATATTTCCTCCAATTTAATCCAACCAACAGCCCCAGAATGTTATAGCTGCAGTGCAAGAAGCAAAGGAGCAGCCCCATGAACAATGGACGCCATTTTGAAAGCATCTGGGGATATGTTTAAAGGCAGCAGGTGCTTCGAAGGAAAGCTGCATTTGGAAATAGACCCCACAGGGAATCTGTGCGCTTAGAACCGTAGGGTTAGGAGGACCCACAAAAGAGCAGGCCACCGATGGGGAAGTGGGGGGCCAAAGGGGGCAATTGCATGGGCCTGGCATTTCAAAGGGGCCCGGAGCTCCCAGCTGCTGCTGCTGCTACTTCAGCAGCTGTGGTGACTGGAAGCCCAGGCCCCTTTGAACCGTGGCTTTGATGGCTGGGGGGGACAGTGCCTTGGTCCAGGCGGCGCTAAGGGCTGATTGTCCTAGGCCCTGCCCCTTACACCCTTGGCCTTGCTCCTTCGGGGCATGGAGCCAGGCCCCTCCCACCTTGCCCCAGGGCCTGCAGTGGCTGTCAGCCCTGCTGCAAGGGATATATAATCTAACCCCCTGCCGGGATGCAGGATCTGTTGTGTCTTAACCATCCCACAGGCGGCTCCAGCCTCCTCTGAGGCTTCCAGGGAAGGAGCCGCGGTGCCCTCCCCAAGCATCTGTCCCATGGGCCTCCTGTTCTCACAGCTGGGCCGTTCCCCTGAGATTTCCTCTCCCTGCTGTGCAGCGGTTGGACCCCGCTGCCTCTTGGCCGCCCTCTGTGGCAAGCGAGAGCAACGGCTCGCCAGCTTTCCTGGAGCAGCCTTTCAACCAGTACACCCCCCTCCCCCCTTCATCTCCTCTTTCCTAAACTAAACAGGCCCAGTTACTTCAGCCTCTCCTCCTCCGGCTGCATCCATCCCTTTGGTCATCCTTGTCACTCGCCTCTGGGCCCTTTGCAGTTCCTCTACGCCCTTCGTAGACACTGGGGACCAAAACTGGACACTACTGCAGCCAAGGCCTCGCCAGTGCCATGC